TCACTACATACACCCAACGCAATAGTGACCGGACACTACATACACCCGTAGCAATAGTGACCACACACTACGTACACCCAACGTTATAGTGACCAGACACAACGTATTCCCGACTTATATAACCACACACTACGTACACCCAACATTATAGTGACCCGACACTACGTACACCCAACATTATAGTGACCAGACACAACGTACTCCCGACTCAGATAGCCACAGACTACATACACCCGAAGTGATACTGATCGGACACTACATCCACCTGACGTTATAGTGACCACACACTACATACACCCAACGCAATAGTGACCGGACACTAAATACACCCGTAGCAATAGTGACCGGACACTACGTACATCCGACATTATAGTGACCAGTCACTACATACAACCAACGCAATAGTGACCGGACACTACATACACCCGTAGCAATAGTGATCAGACACTACATACACCCGACGTTATAGTGACCAGTCACTACATACACCCAACATTATAGTGACCAGACACAACGTACTCCCGACTTATATAACCACACACTACGTGCACCCAACATTATAGTGACCACACACTACGTACACCAAACATTATAGTGACCAGACACAACGTACTCCCGACTCAGATAACCACACACTACATACACCCGACGTTATGCTCATCGGACACTACATACACCTGACGTTATAGTGACCAGACACTACATACACCCAACGCAATAGTGACCGGACACTACATACAACCGTAGCAATAGTGACCGGACACTACGTACACCCGACGTTATAGTGACCAGACACTACGTACACCCGACGATATAGTGACCAGACACTACGTATTACCGACGTTATAGTAACCAGACATGACGTACGCCCAACATTATAGACGAGACACTGCGTACACCCGACGTTAGAGTGACCAAACACAACGTACACCCGACATATATAACCACACACTACGTACACCAGACTTTATAGTGACCAGACACAACGTACTCCCGACTTATATAACCAGACACTACGTACATCCGACGTTATAGTGACAAAACACGACGTACTCCCGACTTATATAACCATACAATACGTACACCGGACGTCATAGTGACCAGACACAACGTACACCCGACGTTACAGTGACAGGACACTACGTAATTGACGTTATAGTGACAAGACACTACGTACACCCAACATTATAGTGACCAGACACAACGTACTTCCTACTTAAATAACCACAGACTACATGCACCCGACGTGATACTGATCGGACACTACATACACCTGACGTTATAGTGACCAGACACTACATACACCCAACGCAATAGTGACCGGACACTACATACACCCGTAGCAATAGAAACCGAACACTACGTACACCCGACGTTATAGTGACCAGACACAACGTACTCCCGACTTAGATAGCCACAGACTACATACACCCGACGTGATACTGATCGGTCACTACATCCACCTGACGTTATAGTGACCACACACTACATACAACCAACGCAATAGTGACCGGACACTACATACACCTGTAGCAATAGTGACCGGACACTACGTACATCCGACATTATAGTGACCAGTCACTACATACAACCAACGCAATAGTGACCGGACACTACATACACCCGTAGCAATAGTGATCAGACACTACATACACCCGACGTTATAGTGACCAGTCACTACATACACCCAACGCAATAGTGACCAGACACTATATTCAACCGTAGCAATAGTGACCGGACACTACGTACACCCGACGTTATTGTGACCAGACACTACGTATTACCGACGTTATAGTAACCAGACACGACGTACGCCCAACCTTATAGACGAGACACTGCGTACACCCGACGCTACAGTGATCAGACACTACGTAACCTGACGGTATAGTAACCAAACACTACGTACACCCGACGTTACAGTGACAGAACACTACGTAACTGACGTTATAGTGACAAGACACTACGTACACCCGACGTTATAGTGACCAAACACTACGTAACCTGACGTTAGAGTGACCAGACACTACGTACACCCGACGTTGCAGTGACCAGACACTACGTACACCCGACGTTATAGACCAGACACAACGTAAACCCGACATTATAGTGACCGGACACTATATACACCCGACTCAATAGTAACTGGGCACTTCATACACCCGACGTTATAGTGATCGGACACTACATACACCCGACGTTATAGTGACCAGTCACTACATACACCCGTAGCAATAGTGACTATACGCGACGTAGACCCAACCTTGTAGACGAGACACTACATACACCCGACGTTATAGTGATCGGACACTACATACACCCAACGTTATAGTGACCAGACACGACGTACACTCGAGGTTATAGTGACCGGACACTACATACACCCGACGCAATAGTGACCGGACACTACATACACCCGACGTTATAGTGATCGGACACTACATACACCCGACGTTATAGTGACCAGTCACTACATACACCCGTAGCAATAGTGACTATACGCGACGTAGACCCAACCTTGTAGACGAGACACTACATACACCCGACGTTATAGTGATCGGACACTACATACACCCAACCTTATAGTGACCAGACACGACGTACACTCGAGGTTATAGTGACCGGACACTACATACACCCGACGCAATAGTGACCGGATACTACATACACCCGACGTTGCAGTGACCGGACACTACATACACCCGACGCAATAGTGACCGGACACTACATACACCCGACGTTATAGTGATCGGACACTACATACACCCGACGTTATAGTGACCAGTCACTACATACACCCGTAGCAATAGTGACTATACGCGACGTAGACCCAACCTTGTAGACGAGACACTACATACACCCGACTTTATAGTGATCGGACACTACATACACCCAACGTTATAGTGACCAGACACGACGTACACTCGAGGTTATAGTGACCGGACACTACATACACCCGACGCAATAGTGACCGGATACTACATACACCCGACGTTATAGTGATCGGACACTACATACACCCGACGTTATAGTGACCAGTCACTACATACACCCGTAGCAATGGTGACCGGACACTACATACACCCGTAGCAATAGTGACTATACACGACGTAGACCCAACCTTATAGACGAGACTCTGCGTACACCCGACGTTACAGTTTCCAGACACTACGTAACCTGACGTTATAGTGACCAGATGCTACGTACACCCGACTTTACAGTGACCAGTCACTACGTACACCAAAAGTTATAGACCAGACACTACGTACACCCGACGTTACAGTGACAGAACACTACGTAACTGACGTTATAGTGACAAGACACTACGTACACCCGACGTTAGAGTGACCAAACACTACGTAACCTGACGTTAGAGTGACCAGACACTACGTACACCCGACGTTGCAGTGACCAGACACTACGTACACCCGACGTTATAGACCAGACACAACGTAAACCCGACGTTATAGTGACCGGACACTATATACACCCGACTCAATAGTAACTGGGCACTTCATACACCCGACGTTATAGTGATCGGACACTACATACACCCGACGTTATAGTGACCAGACACGACGTACACTCGATGTTATATAGACCGGACACTACGTAACCTGACGTTATAGTGACCAGACGCTACGTACACCCGACTTTACAGTGACCAGTCACTACATACACCCGACGTTATAGTGAGCAGACACGACGTACACTCGATGTTATATAGACCGGACACTACATACACCCGACGCAATAGTGACCGGACACTACATACACCCGACGTTATAGTGATCGGACACTACATACACCCGACGTTATAGTTACCAGCCACTACATACACCCGTAGCAATAGTGACTATACGCGACGTAGACCCAACCTTGTAGACGAGACACTACATACACCCGACGTTATAGTGATCGGACACTACATACACCCAACGTTATAGTGACCAGACACGACGTACACTCGAGGTTATAGTGACCGGACACTACATACACCCGACGCAATAGTGACCGGATACTACATACACCCGACGTTATAGTGATCGGACACTACATACACCCGACGTTATAGTGACCAGTCACTACATACACCCGTAGCAATAGTGACCGGACACTACATACACCCGTAGCAATAGTGACTATACACGACGTAGACCCAACCTTATAGACGAGACTCTGCGTACACCCGACGTTACAGTTTCCAGACACTACGTAACCTGACGTTATAGTGACCAGATGCTACGTACACCCGACTTTACAGTGACCAGTCACTACGTACACCCAAAGTTATAGACCAGACACTACGTACACCCAACGTTATAGTGACCAGACACGACGTAACTCGATGTTATGGTGACCGGACACTTCATACACCCGACACAATAACGACCGGACACTACATACACCGGGCGTTATAGTGACCGGACACAGCATACACCCGGCGTTATAGTGACCGGACACAACATACACCCGACGTTATAGTGACCAGACAATACGTACACCCGACGTTGTAATGACCAGAAATGACATACACCCAAAGTTATAGACGAGACACTGCGTACACCCGACGTTACAGTGACCAGACACTACATACACCTGACGTTATAGTGACCAGACACTACATACACCTGACGTTATAGACTAGACACTACATACACCTGGCGTTACAGTGACCAGACACTACATACACCTGACGTTATAGACCAGACGCTACATACACCTGGCGTTACAGTGACCAGGCACTACATACACCTGACGTTATAGACTAGACACTACGTACACATGACGTTACAGTGACCAGGCACTACATACACCTGACGTTATAGACTAGACACTACATACACCTGGCGTTACAGTGACCAGACACTACATACACCTGACGTTATAGACTAGACACTACATACACCTGACGTTATAGACTAGACACTACATACACCTGACGTTATAGTTGTGGCCGTCATGGTCGTTGTTGCCATAAGAGTTTGTTCTGCACATTCTAGATCAATAACGCCTCTGTGCTGTATGTTTCGCCGCTGGAAAAACTTCCGGAAGAACAGTTTGACGAGATATTGGACATCAACCTGAAGAGCCACGTGTTTCTCACCAAACTAGCTCTTCCACATTTGCTTGAAACAAAAGGTAAACAAGATTTACGTATGTTACATAATGCTCACTCTGATTTGAGCGTCATTGAATAAGCCTAGATCTAGCATGTGTGCGTGTCATGGAAGTGGTGTACCAGTCAATATCATTCGTGTTACCTAGCTGATGTCAAATGCTTCCAATTTGTCGAACACCGATGCGTCATCGATGATTTCCAGACTCGGTGGCGCTTTGCTATTTCCCTGGTCTAAAGTAAGACATTTAACAATGCATGTTTAAATACCCCTTTGCATTTCTAAGTTGGAATAACGTTTGTTTTTCAGGAAATGTAATCAACATCTCTAGTGCAATTACAGATATCGTTGTGAGTGTTTTCGTTTATTTTTCTTTAATTACATCTCATCACAATTAGAACTAGTCACAACCCCGGATGAATATGCTATTTCAAACACATTTTAGAAAAATGACACATTCGTATTCAAAAGTAAAACAACCTTGACATGTGCCGAGTGAGTGAGTGAGTTTAGTTTTACGCCGCTATATTCCAGCTAGATGGCGGCGGTCTGTAAATAATTGAGTCTGGACCTTACAATCCAGTGATCAACAGCATGAGCATCGATCTATGCAATTGAGATACGATGACATGGTCAACCAAGCCAGCAAGCCTGACCACCCGATCCCGTTAGTCGCCTTTCACAACACGCATAATGGGGTTACATGCCCCCTTTCCACAAAGCGATCGTAGCTCTAAGGTGATTCCTAACTCCCATAATTTAACATGGACTTACGACAGTCGTAGCGCTACGATCGCTTTGTGGAAGTGGTCCCTGAAGATCTATTCTAACCCGGATCTTCAAGAGTCCCATTTGTCTGTATTGAGAGTATTTTATATATTAGGATTTCGAATATAAAATCAATTTCGAAAAGAAATGGGCTCATTGTGGAATATTTTGCGTACAATTCACACATTGCTTAGGACGCACATACGGAAAACTTCAACCTGCTGACAGTTTTGCATGAAAGTACGATAAATAATTTTGAACTTTTTAAGACATTTAACCATATATGGATTGAACGTTTATCTTGGAAAAGACTCGTGAAGGTCCGGGTTAGAATATCGATCTTCAGTAACCCATGCTTGTCGTAAGAGGCGACTAACGGGATCGGGTGGTCAGGCCACAGGCCCTCGTGTCTTTGCGAGGATTAAAGATTCAAAAATATTATTTTGAGATGACCCCCGACTCGAAATGCTTCACAGTATAATACATGATGACAAGGCCGGACACTTCGCTACCATCGCATGTAATCTATTAAAACTTAATGTAAACATAATCATGGATGATTGGCCTATCGATCACCAATCACGACACCCACCAATTCTTTATTGCTATTTCTGCAAGTCGATTGAAACTCGATTTTGACTCTGAACAAAACAATCTTGACACAAATGGCTGACGATATATCCGCAAAACCGGGGGTGTGGTTGAAGCAATGTCGTTACGTATGTCGCAAAAGGCCTGCCGGAATACGACAGTCCGAGTTGCGTCTCGCTAACTGATATCCTTAATGGAGAAGATTAAATACATCATGGCTGTGTTGACAGGTTGAGGGTTGGGGCGCCTATATCATGTCGAAAGCAGCACTGGACAGCTTTACGGAGGTATTGGCAGACGGTACGTATGTTTGGTATTACGTGTATTATATAACGACGTCCAAAAGAAGTACACATCCTGGCTTTTGGATTATATTCCACAATAAGGTAAATATTTCTAGTGTTTTGATTCTGATTAACTTTGTTTTTGTGAGGTTAGTTCTTATGTTTTGTTGGTGTTTTCTTTTGTTTTATTTGCTGTTGTGTGTTAGTTTGTTGTTTTTGCTTTGTGTTTTGTTTGATTGTTTATTGGTATTTCATGTTTTGGAGTTTGATATTGTTGTTTTGTTAACTGTTTGTTTGTAGTTTTTATTGTTTGTGTGTTTTTGGTTTTATTTGTTGTTTATTGTTTTTAATTGTTTTTGTACGTTTGTTATTTGTTTTTTTATGTTGTTATTTTTGGTGGTTTTTTTTTTTTCTTTTTGGTGGTTTTTTTGCTTCTTTAGTTTTGTTGGGGGTGGGTGGGTGGGGTGTAATAAAAACTAATCCCCTTAACCCAGATGTGTACTTTCTTTTGTACGTCAGATTAGATATCGAAACGTTTTATTTGATTTTGTATGCAATCAATTTTTCCAGAAAAGGTATGCTTATTTATGTAAGTAGACTATACACCACGTACGCGTATAAACAAAGTCAATGTTGTATTTTAAGTGACACGGGTAACAGTTGTCAGTGTGAGCCAGGACTTAAAATCCTAGAAACTCTCAGGAGTGGTCATCCTATCAGCTAGTCTCCGTCATCAGCGATTGTTAATCTTATTTGTGACCTGTGTGAAATACGCAGCACAAGGTGATCATGGCTGCTTTATTTTCACGTCAGCAAATGAAAAGAATATGACTGAATGAAAGCAATATGACAATATTCAGAAATGTTGACCCCTGTTTCACACTGGAGCACCTGGTATATTTTGCGCCCATTTATTCAAGTGACTTTGTTCGAACAATCTCCCCGTTTTTTTCCAACTGGGGGCGGTAGGGTAGCCTAGTGGTTAAAGCGTTGGCTCGTCACGCCGAAAACCCGTGTTCGATTCCCCACAGTGACACAATGTGTTAAGCCCATTTCTGGTGTCCCCCGCCGTGATATTGCTGGAATATTGCTAAAGGCGGCGTAAAACTAAACTCAGTCAGTCAGTCTTTCCAACTGAATGAAGAGGTATCCTGATTAACGAGCGCTTCATAGAATGAAACTTTGGGTTGGATACCTCCAAAGGAGTTGCGAATGACACGACCACACACAGATCAACTGACTGAGATAATGCAGGGATTGGACTATACAATAAAGTAAATAATGACCCACGTCATAATAACTGTGCAATGATTGGTTTATCATTACAGAGCTGGGACCTTTTGGAGTGAGGGTTAACGCGCTGAAGTAAGTGTATAAACCAAGACAGATGTGTTATGGGTATGACAGCTGTGGGGGTGTAATACCGGTGCACGATACATGCAGGGCAAATGTAGAAACAGTTGTATGACAGCTGTGGGGGTGTAATACTGGTGCACGATACATTCAGGGCAAATGTGGAACAGTTGTATGACAACTGCGGGGGTGTAATACTGGTACACGATACATGCAGGGAAAATGTGGAACAGATGTATGACAGCTGCGGGGGTGTAATACTGGTGCACGATACATGCAGGACAAATGTGGAACAGATGTATGGCAGCTGTGGGGGTGTAATACTGGTGCACGATACATGCAGGACAAATGTGGAACAAATGTATGACAGCTTCGGGGGTGTAATACTGGTGCACGATACATGCAGGGCAAATGTGGAACAGATGTATGTCAGCTGTGGGGGTGTAATACTGGTGCACGATACATGCAGGACAAATGTGGAACAGATGTATGGCAGCTGTGGGTGTGTAATACTGGTGCACGATACATGCAGGACAAATGTGGAACAAATGTATGACAGCTTCGGGGGTGTAATACTGGTGCACGATACATGCAGGGCAAATGTGGAACAGATGTATGTCAGCTGTGGGGTGTAATACTGGTGCACGATACATGCAGGACAAATGTGGAACAGATGTATGGCAGCTGTGGGGGTGTAATACTGGTGCACGATACATGCAGGACAAATGTGGAACAGTTGTATGACAGCTGCGGGGGTGTAATACTGGTGCACGATACATGCAGGACAAATGTGGAACAGATGTATGGCAGCTGTGGGGGTGTAATACTGGTGCACGATACATGCAAGACAAATGTGGAACAGATGTATGACAGCTTCGGGGGTGTAATACTGGTGCACGATACATGCAGGGCCAATGTGGAACAGATGTGTGGCAGCTTCGGGGGTGTAATACTGGTGCACGATACATGCAGGGCAAATGTGGAACAGATGTATGGCAGCTTCGGGGGTGTAATACTTGTGCACGATACATGCAGGGCTAATGTGGAACAGATGTATGACAGCTTTGGAGGTGTAATACTGGTGCACGATACATGCAGGGCAAATGTGGAACAGTTGTATGACACCTATGGGGGTGTAATACTGGTGCACGATACATGCAGGGCAAATGTGGAACAGATGTATGACAGATGTGAGGGTGTAATACTGGTACACGATACATGCAGGGCAAATGTGGACGGTAGCTGAGTGGGTTAGGCGGCTGACTTTGTGTGCTGGCGATTGGGGGCCTGACTCTGAGGGTGTGAGTTCGAATCTGGATTGGGCTCAACTCTCAAAAGTACTAGAATTTGTAATTTTACTAAGAAAGAGTAATCCCAAATATAACACATGTTATAAATGTGGAACAGATGTATGACAGCTGTGGGGGTGTAATACTGATGCACGATACATGCAGGGCAAATGTGGAACGATGTATCACAGCTGTTGGGGTGTAATACTGGTGCCCGATACATGCAGGGCAAATGTGAAAAGATGTATGACAGCTGTGGGGGTGTAATACTGGTGCACTATACATGCAGGGCAAATGTGGAACAGATGTATGACAGCTGTGGGAGTGTAATACCGGTGCACGATACATGCAGGGCAAATGTGGAACAGATGTATGACAGCTGTGGGGATGTAATACTGGTGCACGATACATGCAGGGCAAATGTAGAACAGTTGTATGACAGCTGTGGGGGTGTAATACTGGTGCACGATACATGCAGGGCAAATGTGGAACAGATGTATGACAGCTGTGGGGGTGTAATACTGGTGCACGATACATGCAGGGCAAATGTGGAACAGATGTATGACAGCTGTGGGGATGTAATACTGGTGCACGATACATGCAGGACAAATGTAGAACAGTTGTATGACAACTGTGGGGGTGTAATACTGGTGCACGATACATGCAGGGCAAATGTTGAACAGATGTATGACAGATGTGGGGGTGTAATACTGGTGCACGATACATGCAGGGCAAATGTGGACGGTAGCTGAGTGGGTTAGGCGGCTGACTTTGTGTGCTGGCGATTTGGGGCCTGACTCTGAGGGTGTGAGTTCGAATCCCGGATTGGGCTCAACTCAAAAAGTACTAGAATTTGTACTTTACTAAGAAAGAGTAATCCCAAATATAACACATGTTATAAATGTGGAACAGATGTATGACAGCTGTGGGGGTGTAATACTGATGCACGATACATGCAGGGCAAATGTGGAACGATGTATGACAGCTGTTGGGGTGTAATACTGGTGCCCGATACATGCAGGGCAAATGTGGAACAGATGTATGACAGCTGTGGGGGTGTAATACTGGTGCACGATACATGCAGGGCAAATGTGGAACAGATGTATGACAGCTGTGGGGATGTAATACTGGTGCACGATACATGCAGGGCAAATGTAGAACAGTTGTATGACAGCTGTGGGGGTGTAATACTGGTGCACGATACATGCAGGGCAAATGTGGAACAGATGTATGGCAGCTGTGGGGTGTAATACTGGTGCACGATACATGCAGGGCAAATGTGGAACAGATGTATGACAGCTGTGGGGATGTAATACTGGTGCACGATACATGCAGGACAAATGTAGAACAGTTGTATGACAACTGTGGGGGTGTAATACTGGTGCACGATACATGCAGGGCAAATGTTGAACAGATGTATGACAGATGTGGGGGTGTAATACTGGTGCACGATACATGCAGGGCAAATGTGGACGGTAGCTGAGTGGGTTAGGCGGCTGACTTTGTGTGCTGGCGATTTGGGGGCCCTGACTCTGAGGGTGTGAGTTCGAATCCCGGATTGGGCTCAACTCAAAAGTACTAGAATTTGTACTTTACTAAGAAAAGTAATCCCAAATATAACACATGTTATAAATGTGGAACAGATGTATGACAGCTGTGGGGTATGTAATACTGATGCACGATACATGCAGGGCAAATGTGGAACGATGTATGACAGCTGTTAGGGGTGTAATACTGGTGCCCGATACATGCAGGGCAAATGTGGAACAGATGTATGACAGCTGTGGGGGTGTAATACTGGTGCACGATACATGCAGGGCAAATGTGGAACAGATGTATGACAGCTGTGGGGATGTAATACTGGTGCACGATACATGCAGGGCAAATGTAGAACAGTTGTATGACAGCTGTGGGGGTGTAATACTGGTGCACGATACATGCAGGGCAAATGTGGAACAGATGTATGGCAGCTGTGGGGGTGTAATACTGGTGCACGATACATGCAGGGCAAATGTGGAACAGATGTATGACAGCTGTGGGGATGCAATACTGGTGCACGATACATGCAGGACAAATGTGGAACAGTTGTATGACAACTGTGGGGGTGTAATACTGGTGCACGATACATGCAGGGCAAATGTAGAACAGATGTATGACAGCTGTTGGGGTGTAATACTGGTGCACGATACATGCAGGGCAAATGTGGAACAGATGTATGACAGATGTGGGGGTGTAATACTGGTGCACGATACATGCAGGGCAAATGTGGAACAGATGTATGACAACTGTGCAATAGTAATGTCACAGATATGATATAGATATGCGATTGGTGTGTGATAGTTATGTCATAGACATGATAAGGATAAGTGGCGTGTATATGTGATAGATGTGTGATAGTAATATTGCATGTGTGTGCAACATATGTAACAGATGTGTGGCAGTAATATTGCAGGTGTGTGCAAGATAAGTGAAAGATGGGTGGCAGTAATATTGCACGTGTGTGCAACATATGTAACAGATGTGTGGCAGTAATATTGAAGGTGAGTGCAAGATAAGTGATAGGTGTATGATAATAATATTACATGTGTGTGCAAGATAAGTGATAGATGTGTGGCAGTAATGTTGAAGGTGTGTGCAGGATAAGTGGTAGATGTGTGATAGTTATGTTGAAGATGTGTGCAAGATAAGTGATAGATGTGTGGCAGTAATGTTGCAGGTGTGTTCAGGATAAGATGTGTGATAGTAATGTTGCAGGTGTGTGCAAGTTAAGCCAGTGACAGATTTGTGATAATTATGTTATAGGTGAGTGAAGGATAGATGGATGTGTGACGTGTTTGGATGAGGGAGATGTAGCAGCGAAGAACATATAATTCAATACATGAGTGAAACATATGTGACAGATATGTGAGCAATCTATGTTTGTGTGATCAGTCCCGGGCCCCTGCCAAGCACCAACCTCTACACCAGAAGCAACTACGTGGAACTAACGGGAAAGCAGTTGTCAAAGGTATGGACATACAATAATACCGTGAGATGGATCCCAAAGTGATATTGTTGAAATACTCCAGAAAGTGACGTAAGCATCCCCAAATCACCACGGAACCACGCTCAAAGCGATTCCTCTCCATGACACAGGCTTGAGCATAACGCTTCCCCGAGACATCTGAAGACACATTGACATCCGTCACTGAGGAAAATGTTAAATCTGGTCTCCCTAAAAATAACAGTCCTTCACCACAACCGATGTTACCGTATCCATATGTCCTGTTTAGCAATGTGGCGCATGGACGTCCGGCACGTGGGAGATCGGCAACCTCACCAATTTTCTGATTACGCCTCAACAGTGGCGAAATGGTGTTTCCATGGCAATGGAAATGCGCAGCCACCTGACGTTGAGACATTCCCCCCACGGACCATCTCAATAGCCTCATGGCGTTGTGCAGTCGTACGTCGTGGCAGAATTGGCGGTTCATTAGTCGTTTAATTGTTTGAACGATCAAACGTCAAACAACTGAGTTTCCCAAAACGACAGCAGCTTTTGTCATTCATTGCACCACGTCGTTTATTTGAGATGCACAGGCGCAAACTTGTTGCACATGCCAAAACAACTGATGTCACGAAACGTCGCACATGCATATTTAATTCAGTAATTGCTGTGTTACCATCTGTATTTATGTTCACATTTATTTGGAAAATATATTTTGATTTCCCATATGCAATTTCTTTTCGTGGCTAGTATATATCAATGATATACGTCTTATCGTATACCCGCGATGGTCCTGTTTGATTTTATAGGAGATCCATACCCCTAGTCGTGAATTTCACCAAAGTGGGAAACATCTCACCTTCACTGCACTAGGCCTTCCCCCACATTGAAGATGACACACTTACTTAACAATTTATAAGTTTGTTTAGATCGTGTTTACTCCAAACCACTCACTTTATATTAACTGACACTAAAGCGTCTTAAAGTTCCTGTCAAGAAATTCAAAAAAGTAACTGTGCAGCAGAACCTCTTCAGATAAGCTCGATTTCGCATTGAAAAGGAGACTCATCTATTTATTCAAGTCTTGTGTATATTCCTTTGGTGTGGTGGGGTAGCCTAGTGTTTAAAGCGTTCGTTCGTCACGCGGAAGGCCCGGGTTCGATTCCACACATGGGCACGATGTGTGAAGCCTATTTCTGGTGTTATCCGCCATGATATTGCTGGATAATTGCTAAAAGCTGTGTAAAACTAAACTCACTCACTCACAGTCACTGTATTCTTTTAACTTAGGTTACCCTCATTTTCTTGCAGATGTTCGAAGACATGTATGCCAAAACTCCGCTCCGTAGAGAATGTCTCCCTGACGAGATAGCTCAGGTGGCGACCTTCCTGGCGTCCGACATGGCGTCCTTTGTCCATGGGGAGACTCTCCGAGCAGATGGTGGAATCCGGTTTAATGCGTAAGCCATCAGCGGCTTGCTGCGGATGGGACCACTCCTGGTGAAAAGCCAAACGTTACCTTATGATGATATCGTAAAACTAAACCTGTTTGCCCTGGTGATGGCGGAGCCATTTCTCACAGCTCCTGAATTCATAATTAGAACCTTTAATGTAGCCTAGCGATACTTATGCTAACTTCTATCCGTTATATTTTCTGGTGATATTTGAACCATTTGTCACAGCCCCGGAATTCTTAATTAGAACCTTTCCATATCTCCTTTTCACTTTGGAGACATGAGATGCAGTCTAGCGATCCGTTATATTTCTGTTGATGGTGGAACTATTTGATGTAGCTATACGATATCAGTTTAACAAAGTCCCCTTCATATCGTGGTGAAGTATAATCCAATATTGACGTAGTCTGATGAAAATATACAAATCAGATCAATCTCCTTGTGAAGTTGGAGACAGAGCCTTGCGATTCTCACAATAAACAAAGTCTTTTATCTCTTGGTGACGTTGTAAACGACTGATGAAGCCTGGCAATTCTTACATTAAACAAGGTCCTTTATCTCCCGGTGAAGTTGAAGACGACTGAAGAAGCGCCCTGGCTCTTCTCACATTAAACAAACCTATATGTCTCCTGGTGACGTTGTAGACCACTGGCAGAGCCTGGCGATTCTCACATCAAACAAACCTATATGTCTCCTGGTGACGTTGTAGACCACTGACAGGGCCTGGCGATTCTCACATTAAACAAACCTTTATGTCTCCTGGTGACGTTGTAGACAACTGACAGAGCCTGGCGATTCTCACATTAAACAAACCTTTACATCTCCTGGTGACGTTGTAGACAACTGACAGAGCCTGGCGATTCTCACATCAAACAAACCTTTTATCCACTGTTGACTTTCGAAACAACTGACAGAGCCTGATGATTCTCACATTAAACGAAACCTACTATCTCCTTGTAAAGGGTGAGCCAGCCTTTTTCGTCTGATGTTGGTCGACAAAACACTTTAACAGCTATGTTTTTCCACATAAGATTTTAATTTGTCAGTCAGCTGTAACCCTTTACAATTTCGACAACAGAAGGTATATAGGTTAACATACATTACGTCAAGAATAATTATTCCTGTTACCACTGATTTGTTTTTCATAAAAATTAATAAATATTATATAAAAGCTGCAATTGTTTTGTCTTTTGATTGATTGGAAGAAAGTCTATTTATGAATTAAAATACAGTCATTTTACTTTACTTGTAGAAGTGTACGCAAATTTCTACTTTACAGCACATTTCGATTTCCTTAAATAGTTTAACATTTACATGTATATTCTGGGTGATCGCTTTTGGAATGTTTAACTTTCAGTTACAAAGTTTTCTTACAATGAATTTAAAAGTGTAAAACTCTGTTTCAATGTAAGTAAGATTACTTATGATAACTTCTAAAACGTGGCTTACATGTAAGAAACGGTAATGTTCGTTGATTATCCCAGACCAACTGGCTAACTACAGTTTTCATTTATGATTAGATTATAAATGCAATGTCTATGTATGAGTTCTGCATGAGACAGAAAGTTGAGAAAACCCGAGTTTCATGATGTATACTTATTATTTGTGTGGCGGATACGATATCCAGCCAGGAAGCAAACTTCCTATGTACTTGTATAATTTCTTATGTTTGTTTGTTTTTGACAAAATATGCATTTTCCATCTCAGAAAAACAGTGTACAGTTTTGAAAATAGTTGCTATAAGATGTATACAACATTTTATCCTCATGACAAACTCAAAAGGAAAATTTAAGATAGTATCTATAAATTGTAGAGGCTTAACTAATAGTTTCAAAAGGAAACAAGTTTTCAGGTTTTTAAAAAATAAAAAGGCGCATATTTATTGCTTGCAAGATGTGCATTTCACAGCTGACCAAGAACAAATCATAAAACAGCAGTGGGGTTATAAAGAATGCTACATTAGTCCATTTAGAAGTAATGCAAGCGGTACAGCAATCTTATTTAATAATACCTTTGAATTTAAAGTACTACAATGCAAGTTTGATAAAGAAGATGGTAACTATGTAGCAGTAGATGTTAGCATTGATGATAAGATATTTACTGTAATCAATCTCTATGGGCCTAATTCTGATAAACCTGAGTTTATTAGGAAAATAAAAGAAATTGCTGGGAATTTAACATGTGATAAACTTATTATATGTGGAGATTGGAATTTAGTTTTAGACCCTGATAAAGATACTTACAATTATAAACATATAAATAACCCTAAAGCAAGACAGGAATTACTCAAAACAATTGATATATTAGATCTTAAAGACCCATGGCGAGAGTTTTACCCATCAGCTCGAAGATTCACCTGGCGACAACCAACACCATTAAAGCAAGCTCGTTTAGACTATTTTCTAGTTTCCCATAATATTCTCCAGTCCATTGAGAAAAGTGATATCATACCTAGTATAAACTCAGATCACTCTATAGTATCTCTTACAATTTCACTTTCGGACATGCAAAGGGGAAAAGGATTCTGGAAATTCAATAATTCATTACTAAAGGACAAGGAATATGTAGAAATGATTAAAAAAACAATAAATAACACTCTTGAACAATACGAAGACAAAACTGTTAAAGATGGAAAGATGTTTACAATAAATGATCAGTTATTATGGGAGATGTTACTTTTAAATATTAGAGGAACATCAATACTTTTTTCATCCACTCGTAAAAAAGAATATCTAGCTTTGGAATCGAATCTAGAACAGAAACTAAGTGAAATTGAGATTAAACTGGGAGACGTAGCTAGTAGACAGTCAGACGTATTACTAGAAGAATACAAATCAACTAAACTTGAATTAGAAAACTTACATAAAGTAAAAACACAAGGCTCCTTTATTAGATCAAAAGCCAAGTGGATAGAACATGGAGAAAAACCATCCAATTACTTTTTAAAATTAGAAAGTAGAAATTTTCTAACTAAATCTATCTCAGCTCTTGAAAAACCAGATGGAACGTTATTGAAGAAACAACATGAAATCATTCAAGAAGTGAAACATTTTTATGAAAAACTGTATGAAACTGAAGACTGTACACAGATTGATCTGGAAAACCTTTTTGCTAAAGTATCAGTGCCTAGGTTAGACTGTCAAACATCACTTTCCTTAGAAGGGGAGCTGACCTATAATGAAGTACTTGAAGCACTAAAAAAATGAAAAATGATAAGAGTCCTGGCCCAGATGGCTTCACAGCAGAATTTTTAAAGTTCTTTTGGTTAGACCTCAATAAATATTTGATAAATGCTTTAAATTATGCATATAAAACAGGGGCCTTATCTACTACCCCAAAACAAGGTCTAATCAATTGCTTGCCTAAAGAAAACAAATCAAAACTCTTTCTAAAAAATTGGCGCCCTCTTACTCTTTTAAATACTACTTATAAATTAGCTGCATCGACAATTGCAAATAGAATAAAGCCAATCTTACCACTGATTATCCATGAGGATCAAAAGGGTTTTTTATCGGGTAGATATATAGGTGAAGTGACTAGACTTATTTATGATATATTAGACTATACAGAATCATACCAGATACCAGGCTTACTACTACTTATTGATTTTGAAAAGGCATTTGATTCTGTGGATAGAAAATTTATACATAATGTACTTAACTTTTTCCGCTTTGGGCCCAGTATTCAAAATTGGATAAAATTATTTTTCGAAAACATTGAAACAAGTGTTTTGGTTAATGGTTTTGCAAGCCCCTTCTTTAAGGTTACAAGAGGTTGTCGTCAGGGGGGGATCCTATATCACCATATCTCTTCATATTATGCGCAGAAATCCTAGCAATAATGTTAAGAAATAATAAAAATATAACGGGATTAAAACTTGGTAATATATATTCCCTTCTAGCACAATTTGCAGATGATACCACCCTTAGTTTAGATGGATCAGAAAAAAGTCTCTACTCTACAATGAGTACATTATCCTTTTTTGCCAGATTTTCAGGATTAAAAGTAAACACAGAAAAAACCAAATTGATATGGATAGGTTCCAAAAAGAGATCAAGATACAAACTCTGTAAAGAGTATAAGTTGGACTGGACACAAACACAGTTTAAGCTATTAGGTATTGAATTTGATATTGATTTAGGAAATATGGTTAATCTGAACTATGTAAATAAATTAGATAATATTGAAAAAGAAATGGAACATTGGACAAAGAGAACTTTAACACCAATGGGTAGAAATATTGTGTTAAAATCATTATTACTACCTAAACTAAACCATTTATTCAGCAGTATACCAAGCCCACCTAAAAATATAATAGAAGCTTTTCAAAAGAAATGTTTTCAATTTGTTTGGAAATTTAAACCAGATAAAGTCAAGAGAGATACAATGTCACTACAGCCTAAGTATGGTGGCATAAGTGTACCCATATTAGAAAAAGTTATTGCAGCTCAGAAACTTTGTTGGATCAAAAGACTATCTGTTAGTAAGTCCAAATGGGCATGTTTCTTTTATGATCATTTAGTTGAGGCAAAAATAGTAAATTTGGCTGATGCTTTCTACATAGAAAACAATATTGTCCAAAATATCCACAACCAGTTTTGGAAAGAAACACTGTCAGTATATGCATCATATTTAAATTGTTGTGATAATATGGAACTATCTGTTACGGATGTATTGAATAAGTCAATCTGGTACAATAATAACATAACAATTGATAATAAGCCAGTATATTTTTCCCATTGGTATGAAAAAGGTATAACATATATTAACGATTTCTTCAACGATACAGGAAATTGGTTTAATTTCCATGAATTTATTCAAAAATATGCTTTGAATACAGACTTTTTAACATTTCAAGGGTTGAAACAATCTATCGCCCAATACCTACAAAGAATTAACTTTAGTCAAATACAAGACATCTCTCAAACACCAATATTACCTTATAATATTTCTAAAATCAACAGTACTTCAGGTAGTAGATTATTTTATGAAATGTTGCAAAATTCTAAATTTACAAAACTTAAAAGCTATAGCAAATGGGAGCTTTATCTTAATAAACACATTACTGAAACAGAATGGATAAACTATAGTTTGATGGCAAAAAGATGTACACAAAGCAGTGACTTAAGATGGTTTCAGTTTAAGATTTTACATAATATTCTCAGCACTAATTGTTATTTATATAAGATTGGCTATGTTAAGTCACCAGCATGTTCATTGTGTAAAGATCCAGCTGAAACTATAGCACATGTGCTTTGTAATTGTCAATATGCAATAGATATTTGGACAAAATTTACTGAATGGATTGAAGGATACATCGAAAGTAAAATTCACTTAAGTGAAGAACATATATTATTTGGATTTAAAGGTAAACATAATAATCCTCTTAATGTGGTGATAATAATAATCAAATATATGTTGTATAAATGTAGTAAGAAAGCAGTGAAACCTAATTTTATATGGTTTCAAAAAGAAGTATTAAAATATTATGAAATCTCAAAATTTATTGCCTTTTCTAATTGTAACTATGCAAGTTTTCATTCTTTCTGGTCATCCTTCCATTTACTTTTTCGAAATACTATAACTGACTGACTGTAACTACATGTATTTTGTATATATGTGTACTATATATATAAGAGGTAATGTACACATTATGTATTTACATCAACACTACTCACTGTACACTTAAAATACTTTCAATTGAAGAACATAAAGCTGCTGTAATGGAAATTGTAACATAAAAATGGAAATAAAAAAAATAAAAAAATTCATGTATATATGCTTCCTTTGGTTCTGTTATGCTAATAAATTTTCTATTAAAAATATATCATTTCTTTACATTAAATTTGTGTATTTTACATACGTGTCTCCTTAATACAGGCAAGATCCTTTTGAACGGCTCCATGGATTTGAACCGGTGCCGCTGGATAAAAAGAAGCGCGTATTTAATAGATATTCAAAATTATGAACCGTGATTAAATGCGTGTTTGTCTTGATCCTTGAATCAGTGTGCACACAATTCACACGTTCAACTCCATGGGAAGTATAGAAGCAAAGCAGAGTGTTTGCGCAAGGAGATTTTGCATTCAAATTTATAGCTGATTCAACTAGTTACAATACGACTTTGTTAATCGACCCGGGTTTCGGACCAACACATTACCTAATGAGATCCC